GTGGCAGCCCAGGCTCGAGCAACGGCTCGGGCTCCTCCCGGGAGGACTCGGCGCCCGTGGCCACCGCGGCCGCTGCGGGGCAGGTTCAGCAGCAGCAGCAGCAGCAGCAGCAGCGGCGCCACCAGCAGGGAAAAGTGACAGTGAAATACGATCGTAAGGAGCTTCGGAAGCGGCTAGTGCTGGAGGAGTGGATCGTGGAGCAGCTGGGACAGCTGTACGGCTGCGAGGTACCTGGGCGCGGGGCCGGGAGGGTCTGGGGCCTCCCTCGCCCCGCCGGGTTAACACAAGAATTCTCCAGGGCTCCGGCTCCTGGCCGCGCACTGACCTGGCTCTGCGGGACGCAGGGCTGGGAGCGCGGCGCAGCGCGTTCTCTCCTCATGGTGCCCTCTGGTACCAGGGCGCAGCGACTGGGACGCCTGGGTTCAGCTGCCGGGTGGCCGGAGAGCTCCGGGCCCCCTTGGTGGCCGTGGGGAGGGCTGGGTCTTGCTCAGTGCTTTGCCTTTCTCTGAGCTCTGGGCGCTTCTCGGCTCCAGCTGCAGCTACCCGAAGTGGGGTTCGGAGGGACTCACCCCAGCTGCGCACAAGCCCACGAGTACAACACTCACTGCTGGGGTCCCGGCAGCCCCGATTATGGTGGAGAGGGAGCAGGGAAAAGACTGCAAGCTGCTTGACGAAGAGGAGAGGTTCTGGGGATCTTGGGGGCCCTATAGGTTCCTGAAATAATACATCGGAATCATGAACGGAACTCTTTCCCTTTACCCCGATGCTTGTCCCCATAATTAGTCCTTGCATTACCTAAGCTGCACACGTTGGGCTTTGTTGAAGCAGCTTTCTCTTTTCCTGCCCAATTTCAGTTGCTCCCGTTGATGGACGCAGAATGAGAGCCTTGGGCAACCTGGAAGTGTGCCTGGGTGGAAGGAAGGGAGCCTGCGGGTGATGTGCGGGATGCCAGGAATCCCCCAGCTCCCCCTCCGCCAAGACATTTACTTCCCAGAGTTCAGGGGCTAAGCTTATACGCAAGTCTGACTGCCGTGTATACATTCGATGTAAGGAGAAATATTTAGAATAAGCTATATCAAACGTATAGTAGAAAAAAATGACTGAAGCCAAAATGATCTCCCATGAGTCTTTCATGACAGTAATTGTAAATGAAGCATTCTACTACTCTTAAGGGAGTGAAGTTTGGAGAGGGTGAAAGAATGAACAGGGTTAATAATTAAGGATGTGGCTTCTGAGTTAAAGATTGGTTGCATCCATAGGACTGTTACCTTCTTCAGCAAAAATGAAAGCCAGATAAACCCACCGGCTTTTCCACTGGTTTGGATTTCACACATTTTATGGCCTGTTGTGAATACATATTTTCCTTAACATTCTCATCCTGCAAGGAAGCAACATTCTCATTACAGGCTCCTGATGAATGATTATGATATAATGAAGCTTGACTATTTGACTAATGGGCTTGTAAAAATATATTATTTCTCCAGACCAGCTCTTATAAAAAGCCATTTTAATTGCATAAATAAAAAGTGGCCAAAATAGAAAGTGTTTATGGGATTTTTTAAATAGGAAGTTGGCAAAACTCTTTAAAGAAACAATATATTTGATTTAGCTGGGATTACTTGAGGGGGATGGCTGTGCTCAGTCTTGCCTCTATAGAATCCAATTAATTTTCATTTATTTCATACTGGTCTTTATACTCCATTTTGGGTTTGGACAAGATTTGGGTTAATAGAGAAACTATTGTTGAGATTAACAACGCTTTTAGCAATGCTCCTTTTATGGGAGACTAATTAGATGGAGCTCGGGAAAGAGCTCCAGCCCCTCAGCAGGTTGGCAAATTATACATTTTGAAAATTCTTCAGAATAATTGGGAAAAAATGAAGACTTGAAAGCTCATGGTATTAAACATGTAGGTTAGGTACCTATTTTAAAGGGTAAATGTGACAGATCTTTTCCTTGTACTTCTTCCATTTCAGAGCTCAGCCTGTAGCAAACAGCTAGAGATTTGAGAGGTTTTGTGGTAAAATGATACAGGATGCTATGTGCTGCCCGCTTGTCATTAAAATGTGGCAGGTATTTCTCTTCAAGTTGTTTGTTCTGTCATTGTTGATTGAAAAAATATTAAGTCATTGAGCAGGTTGTTGGCAATTTGTAAATTCTATGCTGATGGTACACCATCGAATAATAAAAAGCATGTGGAATAATAAGTAGCCATATAAAGGTTTGTTTTCTTCCATCAATTTCTTCACTGACAGAACTCTATTTTTAGCCTCTGTTCTCTGGTCTGGTAGCCTTTCCTTGCTGAGAGTTTCAAGTATTTCAGCCTCTGGTTTGTGAATCAGGAAGGACCCACCTGGCTTATAGCTCTGAATCTCATGAATATGATGGTTAGGAAATGTTCTCTTTACAGTTAAAATTGGTAATGTTTCCAAATGTTTATGCCACGAACTTGACACCAAAAGCCAACTTGCCAGAATTCAAACTGGCCAGAGGCCTACGCTGTCTGCCAGGTTGAGGGAGAAGATGAACACGTATTTAATTTCAGAAGAACTTGCATCAGGCAGGTCAGCAGTTAGAGTACTTGTCCTTTTCAGAATGGAAGACAGTGGTCTTTTAGAGTGGTGTAAAGCATGATATTTTAAAATTAGAACGGAGTGGGAAAGAAGAAAGACACAGGATAACTTCCTGGCTGTGGTTTTATCTAGATGTTTGCCGCGGCCGATAGATTTTGTATGGAGAACAATACAAAGACAACATTTGTGAAGTACTTACTATGTACCTGATGCTGTTCAAGGCCCTTTGTACGCACTGATTCATTTAGTCTTTACGACAACCTATATGAAGAGGGTGCTGTTACTATCTCAGTTTTACAGACGAGGAAACTGAGACATAGAGCGGCTAAGAGGCTTTCCCAAGCTCACATAGCTGCTGAATGGGAGAGGGTTGCGGGTGGGGGTCAGAACCCAGCACTGTGGCTCTGAGTCCTTATTCTAACCTCCAGGCCTGCCGGTAACTCTGCAGGGTCCTATGCAAGAGAACAGATGGAAGCCCTCAGAGCATATGTCTACATATTTAAAAACTATGAATCAAGCTAATGAGCATTTATGTAAGATGGATTCTATCCTCCACCCTTGACAACAGTATCTTCATTTCGGCCTGGAGGGCTAGGTCTGAACTTTGAATTCTCAAGACTTCCCAGAGCTCGGAGCTGATTGGGAGGATCTTCCCCTGGTCCAGAGCCTGCTTCTCTTGGCTTTTCACCTCTGATACAGTCTTACCTGGTGAAGAGCGTCGGGTCTACTTGCATGACCAGTCTGGCCACACCCTCTGCCACCCCTTAACTATGCCTCTGGCTCCTAGCAGTGGCACAGTCCCCAACTTGAGAGGCTAGACCTGGGAGGAGCCTGTTCATGCCTTGGAAGTGTCTTGGTATTTGATCAGGGAGACCTGGGAACTTGGACTGTAGCCTAAAACCAGATGGAGGGACACTGGTTCTGGATGGGTAAGCCCATTTGGTCTCAGGAACTCTGTAAGAAGGGAGCATGGCCGGAGGGGGCCCAGGGTTATGGTCCCTCTTACTCAGTCTGAGGGTGGTATCGTTAAACACCACATCATACAGCCTTTTGGTTACATAAGTAAATGTTTTTTGTAGATTCTGAAATGATTATGTGTGTTTATAGTCATTTTCCACTTCATCTTTTTGTACAAGTGGTTCCATTTCCACCTAGGAATTTGACTATAATGGAACTGAGAGGTTAAATCTATATCTACATTTTAAATATTTCTGTTTTAAGACATTTTTATATCTCTTCCAAACCCTGATGGTTTTTAAGAGCATTTGAAATCTGGCATAGTGTCTACTTTGACAAGTACTGCAAGATGACTTACTGGATAAGTCATATCAATTTCTCCTATCTTGTCCAGCATCAAGATAACATCTGTACCTCCAGTTTTGCAATTTGATTTGCTTTGGAACTAAAGCCTGTTATTAACCTCGGATTACTGAAACGCCTGCAGAAGCCTAGCCATAAACAGGCTTGTGCACGGAGGGTGTCTTACTGGGTTATCCTGACTGTCTGTTTAGGAGGTCTCTCCTTTTGCTACAGCTTGTCTACATTTTAAAAAGTGGTTTCCAGCACATTACACCTTTCGTCTTCCCTTACTCCCTCCCATCCCCATTCTGTAAGTCAGTGGGTTTTAAAGGTTTTTTGATTTTCCAAAATTGCTGGTTATGACCTTCTAAATTGACTTTGTAACACATTTTTGGGGATTGGGATCTGCCATTTAAAAAATCCTGCTGCCGAAAGGGAAAAGCCTGAACGTATGTAAGAGAATTAGCTGACATTTACTGAGTGCTTTCTGTGTATCAGCTATGGTTCAGGTACTCCTAGTAACAATCCCTGATATTCCCATTTTATGGATGGAGATGTGGAAAAGTTAAGGAGTTGCTCCAGGGCCCTCAGCTGGGACGTGACTGAGCAGGGCCGTGTCCAGGAAGTCAGGTGTACGTTTATCACTGCTTCCCGAGGCAGGACAGAGCTGGCACCTTCTGTGAACCCTCTTCAGGTTGCCTCCTCCCCAGATGCAGCTGTTGTAGCTTCTGAGCTGACCAGTATCACATTTAGGGGAGCCCTGGTGCCAGTGGGTTTGTTCTTGTACCTGGATCAGGCCTCTTGTTTTCAGTTCAGGTCCTTGCTTTGTATCTCGATTCCCCCTCTGCAACCTCAAATTAGCCTGCTTTGATGCTTTGTTAGCACCTCAGCTGGAAGGCAGAAACTGCTGTTTAGAACATAATTTGTGGATTATTTGGCGAATCCCCATTTGGGTAGGTATTTGAGAATGAATAGGCTTTTAAACAAAACTACTTAAAAAAAAAAACTCCGTAAACTGAATCTGTGAAGTATTAAGGAATAAATTAAACATGTTAAAAGTCTATGAATAAAAGAATTCCCAACTGCCAAAGGATGAAAAGAAAACTGTACTAACATATTTCTCTGTAGAACAGCTGTTAGGGAACTCTGGGGTGGAGGCAGTGGGGACAAGAGTAAAAGCTTGGAAGCAAAGTGAACCGAGAGGTGAATTGTGGCCCCAGCATTTAGTAGTGCTTAGAGGTTAGGCAATTTCCATAACTTCTCTGAGCCTCACTTTCCCCCAGTGTTGGAGGAAATCATTCTGGCTGCTTTGCAGGGTTGTTTTGAGGACCAAACGGGTAAGACACGGAGCTGGA